CCATAACTTCTACAGCGACAGAGAAATATACTCTTGCAACAACCGAGGGGGCTTAGAAGCAGATCCTTTCTTAAGTGAGCCCCCAGATAAGGAAGCACCCCAGCTGACACCTTGATTTCAGACTTGTGAGATCCTGAGCCAAGAAACCAGCTAAGCCATCCCTGGACTTTTGACCCATAGAAACTGTGGGATAATAACTGTATGTGGTTTTAAACCGCTAAGTACATAGGGATTTGTTACACAGCAATACAGAGCGAACACCTTTAGATGTAAAAAAGCAGGGCCACTGAAAGCACGAAGCGAGTGTCTCAGGAAGTACGGCCCAACCTCACCTGTACTTCCATGCTAGCTGGCTCCTCCAACAGCTGGAGCAGTTGTTGTTTCTCCTGAGACAGCTGTTCTACAAGCTTCTCCTGAGAAGCCAGGGTCTGACTCAGCTCTTCAATTCGTCTGGATCAAAGGAAAAGTAAGAACAATAAGTATGGTCACGATACTATTAATACCTTTATTTTTCAGCCCACTCCAAAGACAGCATGGTCCGGTACAGTTAGTTTTGAGATTTTTTGGGGGTCATAGAACTCTTGGAGACTTTTCTTCAGAAAGCCATCTATGGTGTGCTCCAGCCCCAAATATTTATACAAATGACCATTGGTGTACATTGTCACTGGGTTTATGGACCTGCTAAAGCTGACCCATGGATCTACAGGCCATAGGTATGTAACTCTTGGAACAAGTGCCCAAAAATCATGCTTTTTAATTTTTTTTCTTTTGGTTGTTATTACTGTTCCACTCGATAAACATCTCTTGGATAACCATTATGTATATTCAATGTACTCTACCAAATCCTGGGAATATAAAGTTGGAAAAGATGCGATCTCTGCTCTGCAGAAAATTAAATTATTTTGGTGTGTGTGCCAAGATTTTGGGGAGTTGGGAGACACAGCTGTATACAAAATAACAGTAATAGAATATAACAAGTGCTGTCACACCAGAGGTAGGTACCATGTAGCGAGCACACTGGGGGCTGCCATGGAGCTACAGGAAGACAGACCAAGAAAAAGTAATTCCTTTGACTTGGAGGTCTGGGGGAAGTTCAGGAGAAAAGAGTTTGAAAACTGGGTTGTTTTCTACACTCAGACTGAGGAGCTTAAACAATGGAATGAAGGCAGGAAGATACAAGATATGTTTGGGGAAGGGTCATGGGACGTGGGGAGAGGGGAATGCTGGGAGCAAGAGACAAAATGGCTGGAGAAGAAGCTGGAAATTGACTAGGCTTAAGTTAAAAGACTACGTGTTGTGCTGAAGTGTACAAACCACAGATTCAAACTAACAGTCGTTCATCTCCTACTACGTGCAAGGCGCATCTTGCTGTTTCTGTGTTTGTGAGTCTTAAGGGCACTGGATACCTGTCCTCGGGAAAGTGCTGGTACTAGATGAAGTGTTTCCTACAGCGATGATTAGTCCTGTGTAAAACAAGGCTAATTAGTCGCGTGTAAAACAGTGATAGCACCTTGGGAGGAAAAAATACTTTGGCAGAAAGGTGAGGGGTACCAGGAAGTCAAGTAGGAATCTCATAGGCAAACTATAAGTTCATTTAGGATATGAGGATCAGCTAAAAATTTGGGGAGAAAGAACTTTAAAAACTTAGAAACATTATACAAATGCAAGCTGTAATGATAATTCTGAGAATTCCCCATGGTATCTGTCCTAGGACATCTCTACTTTTCTCAAGCCTCAAACCTCATGCATCCCTTTGACCCCATCTCTACAGATGACCTGTTTTTCTACTTTACAAAGCCGTTCAACGCCATCTGATATGAACTCACTTAATTTTTTTGTCAGGTGTGCATATGTTTATTTTTGTTTGTTTGTTTCTGTTTGTTAACAAGCGTTTATTGGGATACAGAGATGAGAGAATGTCTCAAGGAATCTAGCAGGGAAAATCTGAAAGAAAATACAACAGCATACTGGGAATTGTGTAATAATAGACGTTTATAGGCAACAAAGCAACAATATAGATTTAATTCTGCTGCCACAAAAGCCTTCACTGAAGTTAACGACTGATGCTGTAGTGGGTTTTGAAGGATGAATAGGAGTTCGCCAGGAGGGGACAAAGACAGATGTTGCCCACAGAAAGAAGAGCCTGAACAAATCTGGAGACCTGACGTAGCATGACTGCTTTACATGGAAGCAGCATGCATTCCGCATTTGGATCCCAGCTATGCCAGGAACCGTGTTCCATAACTTTCTAAATGCCAGTGTCTTCATTTATTAAGTATAATAATCCCTATCTCCTGTGGTTGTTAGAATTAAACAAGCATGTGAAGTACTCAACTCAACTGTAGAGTGAGAGCTCAGCAAACCTTAGTCATCATTGTTATGACTAGTTTGGCATCAGTGAAGTGCGAAGGGGTCATGGTGGGGGGACGAGTCTGGGAGGAATCAGGGGTCAGATCATAAAAGGTTTTGATGGCCACACGAAGGAGAATCGAGCTTATC